GTGGTGTCCCGCACATGGTGCGTCGTGAGCATATATCAGCATCACCCCCTTTGGCAGTGTGGCACCACAAGCCTTGGTGCAGTGAGGTCATCAGTGGCATAAAACAGAATGTTGTTTATCACACGCAGCATGTGTGTTACGTGGTATAGCCGTTTGAGGCTTGGGGCAGCAGCAAGTTCATCTGGTGTGATAGGGTGGCTGGAGGGGTCAGAGAGGTGGTGAAGGATGGTTTTGATGGCGGAGTCAGAAGCTTGCATGTCAGCAATGTAATTAGTGGAGATTTGAGGAGCCAGCGTAAGCGGCTCTGCGGTGGGCATTGTGGTGGGTTGAGTGTGTTTGCTGCGGGTTATGGCTGCCACGTTAAGAGTGGGTTGGTGGGTTGGTGGAGACCATAACTCGCCGTGTAGTGCACCTGCTTTGGCTAGGGCATCCGTTTGGTCGTTGAGGTCCTTGTCTGGACCAGGTTGCTTCGAGTGGCCTTTCACTTTCTTCCAGTAGACGATCATATCATGTTCACTTGTGATGTCGTCGCATGCCTGGAACAGGTGTTGGTGTTTAACTGGTTTGTTGTTTGCTGTCTTGAAACCATTTTGCTTCTAGCCTGGGAACAGGTGTTGGTGTTTAACTGGTTTGTTGTTTGCTGTCTTGAAACCATTTTGCTTCCAGCCTGGAAGATGGCATGTGAAGCCAAGTCTGGCATAGTTGGAGTCTGTGCAAATGAGCAGTTCTCTGATGTTATGGATTGATGCTATCTGCAGGGTTATGAGAATAGCTGCTATCTCAGCATATTGTGATGATTGTGGACCCAGCTTGAAGTGTTGTGGTGGGCAAGGTCGATCATTTAGCCAGAGAACACCAACACCTGCCTTTAGGATACCCTCGTGGTTGTAGGAACATCCATCGATGTGGGCATGCCTTGGCAGACATTCTTGTCAAAATACCTGTGGCAGGTAGGTGGCGGTAGTTGGGGCCTTTCTGCTTCTACGATCTCAGTCGGTGTGTCATCGGAGCAGCTTTGGCAGGCTGCCAGGCCGTTTCCCAGCGCCGACTTGTGATTTTGAGCATATCGTGCTTCTACATTGCACCCCTGGAGGGCCATGAGCCATGTGGCTATGGGTGCGTTTGTGACCACACCGGATGTGCTGGCTGTTGAGGAATGTGACAGGCTGGTGACAAGTTTCTATGATCACTTTCTGTGCTCCGATGTAGTTGGAGAATCTCTGGATGGCCCATACAGTACAGAGCAGGGCTTTCTCACAGTCAGAGTATTTGCACTCTGGGGGAAGAAGAGTCTTGCTGGCATATGCGACCACCCTTTTGTCCTGGTCATGCCGTTGGTATAGACCAGCACTGAGGCAGTGGCTGGAGAATCCAGTGTCCAAGTAGAACTCCTTCTGTGGATCTGGGTAAGCCAGACATGGAGCAATGCACAGATGTTGTTTCAGCTCATTCATGGCATTTTGCTGATCGACCTCACGGCTGGCGGTGATTCGGAGCAGATAGAGTCTGTCTCGCGTGGTAACATTGGCAACAGTTTGCAAGTGAAAGTCAATGTCTTTTAAGTAGGCGTGCACATCGTGGCCTCCTGCAGGGTTTGGAGTGAAAGTGGGAATGTTTCTAGCCAGCTTATCCAATTCTTTAGGTGACACGCCGTGACTGGAAGACAGCCTTTGAAAAGGCTCCCACCCCCTTGCTGCTGCTGGGGGTTCAGGGATGCTGGCAGGTGATGTCTTGAGCAGTGGGCTCTCACCCCCCTTTTGAACTGGAAACCCTTGACTAGGAGGTATCAATCTGCTGGTTAGGGGAAATTCTGTGGTGTGCATTTCCCTTTCAGAGTCACTTTGCAGTCTATATGCATATTTAAGCTCTCGGTGAACCGTATCAAGTTCATCTTTTAAATCGTCTCTTTGTTGGGCCAGGGCACTGACTTCAACCCGGGAACTTTGCAGGTGGCCTTTGCAGGCCTTGGCCCTAGCATCTCTCTCTGAGATACACCGGAAAGTATCTAACTAAGATTGTTGACAGCGTGATCGTCTAAAGACTTTGGCAGCTTGGGTCGTCAATCTATTACTCAGCCTTCCCTGATGATTCTCAAAGGTTCGGTCTCTAGGCAAACAAAACAGAACAAAATGAAAAACAAACAAACCAACAAATCAAAACACAGAGAGAGATAGAGGAGAGAGCAGGTTTAAGCCTTTTACTGCTGTTAGGGGTTATGACAGGGCCTACCGAGTAGAGGGTGCTGCTGGGTCATAACATCTAGTGTGGCAGCCTGTGGAGCGGCTAATTACCTTAAAGATTGAGGAGCAACCTGATTTTGGGGTTTCGCTAGCTGGATGGGTCAGTATTCTATGGCTAGGCTTAGTGATGGATTGAGGTGATTCAGTCTGGATCCCGTGGCAGCTCACTGTGATCCGCCGTGGAGGCAACTGTCACTTCACCAACTAAGCACTAGAGGGAGTGTTACCTATAGGTGAACAAAAATGGCTAGAATACAGAAATTAACTTTAAATTTGAATTCAAACACTGTTTAAACTAAATTTAAATAAATGAGTGGTAAAGGGAGAGAGAAGAGGGGGAGAGAACCCTGATTAAAAATTAAAATTTAAATAAAAAAAAGGAACAAAACAAACAAATATAAAAGTTATAAAAGTAATAAAAGATAATAAAGTAAAACAAAAATAGTACTGGATATGAAAAACTAATACAAAAACAAGAAATAAAAATAAATGAATAAATAAAATTAAAAATAAAACTGCAGGTAACTAGAATGGCTAGAATGATAATGACTAACGAAGCAGAAGGGAAACTAAAATAAAACAAATTACAGTATCAAGTCGACCTAGCAGATAATGCCCACAAGGGGGAGTGGGTGCGCCCACCTAAGGTGAAAACAGGAAGGTAGAAGGAGTTCAAGAAGTGTTAGATACTAAAGTCTGTGACCAGGACTGTAATTTATATGCAAATGTCAAAGGCTAAAAGGGTCTCTTAAGCCATAAAATCCCAAAGATCATGCATGATTCTACGCAGACGCTACAGAACACTCCGGTGATACAGAGTCATATTGCGCCAAGGGGTCAGCGCATCCTAGCAGTCGCGCGTTACTTTGATGCGCAAGGTGCCCGTGCGCCATGCGCTCTGAGGCACCCGGCCCTTTAGCCAGAGCTGAAGCGGTCGCATATGTAGGAGCCCTAGTTTGTACACTGTCGAGGCGGCAGCCATCTGGCCTAGCGTCCTCTGAAAGTATTTCAGCGGGGGAGAGTGCCCTAACTGGAAGACTGCGAGAGAGCTGATCTGTTTTTGTAAGCGCTCCTCCGACAGACACGCTCGCATATTTATTGAATTCAGCTCCACTCCTAAAAAGGAGATGTTCTGGCTTGGTACCAGCATGCTCTTTTGCATATTCACAGTCAGCCCTTCTGTGAGCAGCGCTCTCTCTGATTGGGCTAAGACTAGCCAATCGTCGAGATAGTTCAGGATGCGCATTCCGCTCTGCTTCAGAGGAGAGAGAGCAGCATCCATGCATTTCGTAAACGTACGAGGGGCCAGGGATAAACCGAAGGGTAGGACTGTGAATTGGTACGCTATCCCCTCAAATGTAAATCTCAGGAAACGCCTGTGGCTACCTGAATGTGAAAATAAGCATCCTTTACATCCACGGATATAAAACAATCTCTCGGTCTGATGTGTGAGAGGATTTGTCTCAGCGTAATCATTTTGAATGAGCGCTTCGAAAGAGCGCGATTCAGCGCGGTCTCAGGTCCAAGATTGGGCCTGGCAGTGCCTGCCATGCTTCTGTGAACTGTGACAGCGGGCAAGGCTGACTGCACACCGTGAGGGATAACTCGCCATTGGGGGGCGGGGAGTTTAATACCGAACGAGTGTGAGAGTGAGTGATGGGGGAGAGGGGCGTGAGAGGAGGAGAATTGCTTTGATATTGAGGTGAGTTTTGTATGTTTTTCAGCCTGCCGTCTCTGTCAGGGCGGGGTCTCTGGCACTTCGAGCCTGTCTTGGTCTCACCGCCGGCTCATGTTCGCGCTGAACAGCAGCAGAAGAGGCGTGCGGTCTTCCCGCGCGCTGCGCTGAGGAGGAGCGGGAACGCGCAGGAGGGTTCGCGCCGAGCCCGTCCTCATCCAGAGACTTGAACAGCTTGGCCTGATACACCTAGAGTATCGCCATCACGTGCAGTGCTGAAGCTGCTTGGCCCGCAGCGGAGAAAGCCTTGCCAGCGAAGTTTGCAGTGGCGCGGCAAGGTTTAGAGGGGAGAGACGCGTTTCTCACTCTCCAGTTCGCCGCGGCTGAAGGACAGAGATGGGCAGTGACGGCTTCTTCCACGGGAGGGAGTTTAAGATACCCCACTTGGTCAGCGCCGTCCACAGAAGACAGGAGGGAGGATCCCGGGTTGTGCACTTAACTGGTGAGCGGCGCGTTCCACGACTTCTTTATCTCATCGTGCACCTCGGGGAAAAAGGGGCCGGGCCTTTCGGCCGCGATCCGACTGGAGGTGCCACTCGTCCAGACGGCTTCTGGCCGGCTCGGCAGGAGGCGCCCACTCCAAACCGAGCTCATTAACTGCCTTGGACAGGACGCTTAGAAGCTCGACATCACTATGATGGAGGTCCCCCGCGTCACTACCGTGGGGCGCAGTGTAATTCAGCGGGCTGTTAAACCATTCCTCTCTTGCAGACGCTGCCACCGAAATGGCATCATTTTCAACCTCAGCGTCCTCCATGGCACCGAAGGACACCGCATCTTTAGCGATGGGGGAGGGGCGGAGAACAGCGGTCATGGAGTGCACTGGAAGGGGACCTGCAGCAGGGGGGTGAGGAGCGTGTGGGCACTGAGCCGGCGCGGGCTCGTCACCTGACCCTGACAGATCCTCATTAGAAGCTCGCGGCACTTTCCTCCTTGGCTCGAAGAGGCTGCAGAGGAAGAGCGTGGCAGGGCTAGTTGGGTGAGTTCATCGCCTTGGACGATGGCCAAATGGAGCTTGAGAGTCTGGAGCTCATATCTCCGCAGTGGAGGCAGTCTGACCCCCCAAGCGCCACCTCTGCGTGGGCGCGACCCAGGCAGAAGACGCACGACTTGTGGCCATCAGAGAGTTTGATTGGCTCTGCGCAGGAGAGGCAATCGCGAGTCATCCTTGTTTCCGAAGAAGCAGGGGAAGAGAAGGCGTGTCCGCTGCAGCGTGTAGATCATGGTGAGTAGTCTTGATAGGCTTCTTGCTTCTCGTAGAAGGTTGGCTGAAGAAAAAGATTCTGAATAGATGACGTACAAGCACTGCTTCATATAGAGTGGGAGCCCCTCATATTTCGCGCGCTTGAACGCCATTGGCCAGTTTCACTGATGTGATTCTATAAGGCTTCAGTAGTATTTGGAGGAAAGGGTAATTGCCATAGCAATGTAGAGTGACCGAATCAAAAGGGAAACAATAATGTACAGTATGTGGAAAATAATGTGTTTTTTTAACCTTAAACCGCATAAACACATTTC